TACTCGCTGTCATGCCATCAGTCGGGCTTCGCTTTTCCGGTTTGGTTTTAGCAGCCGCAGTTGGTCGGCATCATCAGATTAACTTTGATCCTTTCTTGGAAGCTGGATGCTCTATCAGTGGTGCGGGAGACCTTGAAGTCCTCAAATAACCTATAGGTTCTGATTTTTTTCCGGACCTTTTTCCACCCGTCAACCGTACTCGGCACCCCTACATCCTACTCTGCCGCCGGGCGGCCCGGGACGCGGCTCGGCTGAGGCGCTGGTCCAATGGGCGTCTGCGAGGAGTTCGTGCAGAGCCGGAAAAGCTGGTTCGGCAGCACACGGCTCAGTGTGCAGCGGCAGCTCGAAGAACGTAGTTGCAAGCACCCTTTGCGCAGCAACAGCGACGAGGCCACTCCACCGGAGAATCCAGGCTGCCTGAGCAGCTGGGCGGAGCGCAGGATGCGCGGCAGAGGCTGTGCTGACTTTAGCCGGAAGCTTGTTGACAAGCAACTCGTTGCGGTGCATGCGGTTGGTCAACTTTCTGATGCACAGGTTGGCTACTACGGCAGCAGGAAAAAGGTGCGGAAAAAAAACTATCTCTTACGTTACCCTTGTAACGCTTCCCGGGTGTGCTACCTTAGCCGCACCACTCCGGGCAGTCATTGTCTCCACGCGCTTGGTCGATTTGACACGGCGTCCAAGCAGCCTTCGAGGACCTCGTTGGTGGGGGTTTGGCGCCGCTGGCCTGGGAACAGGCCACGTTGCCTGTGAAGGCCGGTGGCCTAGGCCTACGACCCGCCGTCTGTGCTGCTGACTCCGCGTATGTGGGCTCACACAATTGCACCTTCGAGCGGTGTCGAGCATTGTGGGGGGTGATTATGTTTGGGATGGGGACCAGCCAGGTACCAACCTTCATGGAGCTTTGGATAGGTGCGGTGGGGAATTGCGGCGAAGAGGCATATTGACACTTCTCGAGGGTCACCGACCCTCGCCCAAGCTTCAGCGAAGCCGCCGTACGCACATGGCAAGTCAGTGCAAGTGTGCAAGTGCTGATGATGTGTGCCGGCGACACGCTTGCTCCGCCATTGGAGCCTCGAAACTCTGGGGGCTTACACCTTCACTCACGCTTGACATGTCTTTTGTCCCGGCCGGGATGATTTCGTCACGGCGGTGCGACTTCGCTTGGGGGTCGACGTTGTGGCTTGGTTGCGGACCCGTCTGGTCGGCATGCTTTGTCATGCATGTCGGGTTGACACACTACGGCATTGCACAATCAGATCCGAGATCTCATTTTTGATTATTGCAAGAGGGGTGGTGTGCATCCAGTGCTAGAGGCATCACATCTGCCCCCAGGCCTTGATGCTGCACGGAGGCGTCCAGCCGACGTGCTCGTACAGCGCCCTGCCCCCTTGCTGGACCGGCTCTCGGAAACGCGACTTTCATTGCACTGAACAACTGTGCATGCAAGTAGGAATTCAATACAGGCCCATCGTCTTGGAGTCCCACGGGGGCTACTCTCGTGCTGCAGCTTCCTTGCTGCATCGGCTTGCCGATGTGGTCGCGTCTGCTGAGGGCACCGACGCCTTTGTTATTCGACAGCGCATCGTTGAGCAAATTGCCATTGCGGTTGCTCGGGCTAATGCTCGGGCCATAAAGCGCAGACGTCATTGCACCACGAATGCAGTCTCTTCCCTGTCCACACAAGCCGAATTGTTCGTCAACCCCGCTGTGTGAGCCGTATGGTCGAGGTTAAGCCTTCGTTGCACACACTATTGTTATGATTGCCCGATGGTGGATGTGCTCGGCTTCGTCTCTACGCCTTTGGCGTTGTCCTTACTTGCTTCTCTTCATTCGAGAGGGGGACAGTGAAACATTTACATACGCCCCTTGATGGGGATGTTCTGTATGGCCATGTTGACGACGAGATTGCTGGTAGGAGTAGCTTGTGCAGTGGTTCAATCGTATGCTCGCGAAGCGGGGCTGCACTGATTCTTCCACTTTGATTTCCGGTGGCTTTAGGTCCCTTGAAAATTTGTGTGGGGTTGTTGCACCCGTCTTCAGCTCCTTGCAGCCCCCGTGTTCCATTGACACGGGCTGCCTTTCAGACCTTGGTTCGTCGTAATTAGCCGTGTCTGTTGACTCCAGTGTGCCGCATAAGCAAACCTATGCAGGCAACAAATTTTCTGTGATGGTGTGTGCGCGTGTGCAAGAAAGGGTTGATCTTCCTTTGTTCCTTTCGTGCGAGTGATACGACTCGCAGTCCTTTCGTGCTTTCCCAAGCGAAGGTGGCCCGCTTCCCCCAGGCACACTGAGGCCGCTGGAGCTCTTGTCTAGGCCTCTGCACAGCCGGATGGAGTTGTGTTAGTGACAAGCCCTCGAGGCGAACACGAGCAAGCTACCAGCATGTCCCGAGCATCCCGGACCGGGCGGAATGCATCACGATCACCGCTGTGGGTCGGCACAGCCTCCCCGCCTTCGCCCGCGCCCGCAGCTGGGGATATTTATTACACCTATCACGGCAATGCTGATAGCGCGTCTTCCCGCCCTCTCACGGTGCCCAGCTCCTTGTCCACTCTCCCGCATGCGGCCGGCACTTCATGCATCTGGAGTGCCTGGCGCAATAGTGCACGCGATCCACTGGCCCACCCGCGACCTGCTGTGCCCCTTATGTCGCCACAGCCGATGTCCAGACTGCATCCCCGGCGGATGGTCCGGAGTACATGATGAACACCTGCGAGCGCTGTGTCGGCCCCACGGCATGGCCATGCCAGATCGGCATTCAGGCGAATCCACCGTGCAGCTACCTACTCTGCACGTTCACTTCAATGACGCGCCCGAACCCCGCCGCTATCAGGTGTCGAGGTGCTGTGCTGCAACCGACTCGGCCATGGGGCGCGCTCGTGGAGTTGACTTCGTACGGCTGCCACACCGGGAGAGTGGGGAGACGCAGTGGGCGCCCGTCCCTATCCGACACGGTGCAGGCGGAGGTGCTTGGAAGAGACCCGGCGTTGCCCGCTGTCCTAACATTCCAGGAGACACTCCACAGCCCTCCAGACCAACATAGACCAACCCATTTGGACTTCTCGGCATATGGGCTGTAATAATGAGACGTTAATCTCTACATTGCGGAGTAAAAATGTCCTTTAGAATGTAAATGAATGTAATGTAGATGAAAAATCAAGTCGGCTCCATACTCACCAGGAGTTGGCCTGACGAAGGCGAAAGGGTACGTTTTGAGGGGTCGTGGTCGCAGTCGAGCAACATAAGTTGCAGGTACGAGTGCGACATTGATACGCCCACGTTTGCTCAAGCAATCTTTGGACATGATGGAAAACCTAGCCAACAGCAAGTCGCGAACGTGACATCGCCAAGGACGACAGGATGACAAGCAATGCACGGAGGATGGTTCCATGCGAAGCAGACCGTTCGCAACACATGCAGCGTCATGCGATTGCACGTGGATCCGGAGACGGGTGACAACAAGTCGCCTTCGCGCCAGGAGTGTGTAAATGCATAGCGAGTGTTGTGCCGTGCAGTTGGCCATTCCACCAGGACGCATTGGAATCGGCATGTTCGCCACATGCAAAAGCCCTGCGGCGGCCGCTGTTGGCAGATGCTAGCAGCTTCGAGGTGCAACGTTTTGTGAAGCGGTGGCGACCGGTAGTGAGCAAGAGGTCGTCGGGGAGCCAACATGTGTCACGTTAAAAACATGGACCCCAGTGTGTCAACGAATACACACCCGTAGACACATGTCACTTGTCCTTTCCGATGTGGAGGCATGCACAATGACCATGCCGAGTGTTGGCCAGAGGTATTTTTCATGTTGTTATGTATGTTTAGTTTGGCTCGATGACAGTTCGCCTGGAAAACTTATGCAGGTGTCTCGTGTTTTCATGCTGCAAACAGCGATTTGGTTCGGGATGGCTCGAGTCGTGCAGGCAGCATCACATGTGTAGGTAGAGTCCTTACAGGTTGTTTCATTTCTTGTGCTCGCGGTTGCAGTCCAAGTTTTCATGCCCAAACGGTACAGGCGAGAAAGACGTAACGCATAGGGACAGTTGGTGATATGCGGGTGCCGGCAGTGCACCCCGCAATCTTGTAGCTAGCCAGTTGATGATGCGATCACGACAGGATGTCCCCGTGCCGAAGTCGCCACGTTCGGATGCCTTGGATGAGGCAATCCTGCAACAACTTGTTGTGTCGGTTTGTTTCGCGTTGATGTGTTCAGCACCGCAAGCCGTCGTCGAATGCTGGTAGTATGCCCGAACATTTTGACATAGACATCGCCGAGCATGAACATTGTAACATGGCGCTGTGCCCAAGTTGACCAACTGGATACAGTCAATGGGCTTAGCCGTGTGGGCATGTCGATGCAAGGAACTGCGCTGAGTTCATCGTAGCCAGATGCACAACGCCAGTGAAGCATTTGGGACGATGTTGAATCGAAGCACTAAGTAATCAATCTCGCGACCCCTTAATTAAGCGGAAAGGGCGAAAGGTTTGCGTCCATCAGTCTCAAGCAAAGAAGCAATTTATCGATCCACCTAGTCACATCACGTTGTCACATCTCTGATACGCAATCATATTCAACCATGCTTGCGCATGATCATAGCTCCAGCGGTGCGAGAGGGGTGAATGTCTAGTCTAGTCTGGTCTCATTAAACGCAATTTAACCCTATCCAATACGTATCCACTTGAGTGTGTGCAACCCGTCTATTAGTATCTATCCATCTATCTCTTCTGTTTGTGCATTTGTTTGTCCCTCCGTGTTTCCTTGGCAATTTGTCATCAGCTGCCGCAGCGCTGTACCGTGTTTACGTTTTCCCCATAGCTGAGCCAGCATTGATGTCCATCTGTCATCTATACATCTATCCATCTACCGATTGCTCTGAAGTGGGTTCATTGCCGTTCGTCATGTTCGGGAGGCAGACGTGGGAGCAAGCCTTAGCTTTCAGGCAGGATCCGGCTACGGTCGGCTGCGTGCTAGAAGCACCGAGACATGCCAGGACGCAATATCCATGCACGAGACGTGGAAGGGGCACATGCCCTTTTCATGCGAAGTTCTGGTGCCATCCGCTTCTTCGCTGAACCACGTCCAGCGTGTATTCCGGCACCATTCCTTCCCATAAATTTGATTGGGTTCAGCGGCTTTATGTGCTTTACGTTGCCTATAAATTTTGGGGGTCGTTGCACCCCCTCCACCCCCGCTACTTCTTCAGAGCTTTGATCATTTTTTCAGCCTACAGGCAATTGCCTTCGCCACTCAGGTTGAGCCGTGCACGAAAGCTAAGTTCTACAAACAGTCTGGCTCTCAGCCTCCGTGTGCAGAGATTCCTTGGGTGTGTTGGCTCGCTTGGCAGGAGGCAGAGGTAGCTCCTGGAACTCTTTGCTTTGGCCGCCTGAGGTACACGATTTGCGGTAGCCCGGAGTTCTTCAGGATCGAAGAAGCCGCCAGCAAACGTACTGCCAGAGAAGTGCTGGAAGTTTTGCAAGCAATAGACCCAGCAAAGCCGCAGCTGGCGGATTACTGGGAAGCAAACTATGCGCCGTTTCCAGGGGCAAGAATCAAGATCCACGCAGCGCATTTAGCAGCCAGCCTCGGGAGCGTGGAGGTTCTGAAATGGCTCCGGATGCTTAGCTGCAGTCGTGTGTCGAGAGTGTATGTTTGTGTGTTATAGCTGCTAGAATATCTGCTTCTTTGGCCGGGGCCAGCGCAAGCTGTTGCGACTCTGGACAACCAAGCCAGTCACACCATGGTGCAGAAACTGTGTGGACGGGACCCAGTCCGCTACGGAGCCTGTCCCTTTTGCCAACAAAGCCGGCTTTCCGGCTTTCATGCATGCAAAGGCGCACAACCCTGAACCATGAAGAATTTCATTTTCGTCTTCGTGAGTATCTGTCACAAGTCGCCGTCGATCGTTCAATGCTTAAGAAAGTAAATAAGTAAGTAAGTAAGTAAGTAAGTAAGTAATAGTAAGTAAGTAAGTAAGTAATAGTAAGTGTGTAAGTAATAGTAAGTAAGTAAGTAATAGTAAGTAAGTAAGTAATAGTAAGTAAGTAAGTAAGAGTAAGTAAGTAAGTAAGAGTAAGTAAGTAAGTAAGTAAGTAAGTAAGTAAGTAAGTATATGCAACTGTATGTAAATACCAGCAC